GCGAGCGGGCAGGGCCCCCCCCCCCCCTCCCCAACAACTCATGGCAGAACAGCTCAGCCCCTCTCTTCAGCGGCCTGGACCTCCTCCTGGAGCTGAAGCCCCTCTTCATCCCTCTGTACGCCGCGCTGGTGGCCGTGGCCTGCGCGGGGAACCTCTTCCTCCTCCTCCTCCTCGCCCTCACCAAGAAGCCGCGCCGCGCCACCAACCTGCTGATCGGCAACCTGGCGGCGGCCGACCTGCTCATGTGCCTGGCCTGCGTCCCCCTCACCGCCTCCTACGCCTTCGAGGAGCGGGGCTGGCTCTTCGGGGCGTCCCTGTGCCACCTGGCCGCCCTGCTCCAGGCCGCCACCGTCTTCGTCTCCGTGCTGTCCCTCACCGCCATCGCCGTCGACCGCTACCTGGTGGTGGCCTATCCTGTCCGCCGGCGGCCGGGCCGCCGCGCCTGCCTCTGCCTGCTGGGCTGCATCTGGCTGCTCTCCATCCTGGCCTCCCTCCCCACCTCGCTCCACACCCGCTACCTGGACCTCAACGCCGTCGGCCACGACGTGATCATCTGCGAGGAGTTTTGGGAGCACGAGGAGAGAGCGCGGCTGCTCTACTCCTGCCTGATGCTGCTCCTGTCCTACCTGCTCCCGCTTCTGGCCGTCTCGCTGTCCTTCTGCGCCATCACCTACCGCCTGAGGAGGAGGAGCGTCCCCGGCGCTGCCCATCCCTGCCAGGACAGGTGGACCAAGACCAAGCAGAAGACGTTCCGGGCGCTCAGCGTCTCGGTGCTGTGCTTTGCCGTCTGCTGGCTGCCCCTCCAGGTGGTGAACTTCATCAGGGACATCGACGAGGAGTTCACCATCCTGGACAAGAGGTACGTCAACGTCATCCAGGTGTCCTGTCACCTGGTGGCCATGAGCTCTGCCTGCTACAACCCCTTCATCTACGCCTCCCTCCACGACAAGTTCTGGTTCCACCTCAGCAGCTACTTGTACCGCAAGAAGAAGAGCTCCGGCCTCGCGTCCTGCAAGGCCTCTCGGGTCAACACCTGCTCCTTCCTGGCAGATGCTCCCACTGGGGTCTCGGATAAGATGGCTTTGCAAACCAGGTTCTCCTAACTGGAGGGCCCCGGGAGATCAGCTTTGCCTTTGGACCTGGGGTGCACTTTGCTTTAGACTGGTGGCTTGGCCGTGGTGGCCTGTTGGTGCTCCCAGTCAAGGACTCCTGTGTGTGGCAAGAAGCACCAGGGAACAAACCAATGGACTCCACACCCTTGAGGAGCAGCTCAAGGATGTTTTGTTCTTTGGGGAAAACAAACCAGTGCAACCACAGCCACGGCAGGGTCACTGGGAGCAGGATGGACCTTCTCAGCTGGAGCTGCAGGAGGTGTTTCCACCCACCTGGCCAACCAACAGATGTCTGAAAGGCTTGCCAGTGTTGCTCAGCTCATCGAAACAGAAAAATGGGGGAGTGTCCAGGGCAATGAGGTTCTCTGTAAGCCTCAAGTTTTCAGAAATGCCCCGGGGAGGGGCTCCCCTCCATGGCTGGGCAGGGGGTTCATGCCCTGGGTCCCTCCCCGTGGCTGGGTCTGGAGTGGACACCCTGTCTCAGCTTACATCTGGCCCTGGGAGGTGGCTGGGGCTGCATCTGAAGCATCAAGACCTCTCCCTGTGGTTTATTGAGGAGGTGGGCCAGCTCCTCAGGCAGACAGACAGACGGACAGCAGGGGCATGTTACACAACTCTTTGGAGAGCATAACTCTTCATGGTGTAGGAGGAAGGTTGTTCCTAAGCAACCAGGAGCACTTTCCACCTCTGGAAAAACAGGGGCCCTCACCCCTCGCCAGCAGCTGCTCCATTGTGCTTTTCCTTCTGAATCACAGCTCTTTGGGGAAAGGACAAACACACCCTAGGAACCTGCATTCTCAGCCAGGGCCGTGTGGGGCCACGTGGCCACCAGAAGCAGGTGGGTTGTGGTGAGTGGGGCCACCCAAACCCACTTGACTGTCTGAAGGAGCCACCAGTGTGAGCAGATGGGAAGGTCCCAGCTCCTCCAGCCAACGGTGGCAGATTCAAGGCACCAGCATCCCCACCAGCACCAAGTCTTGGGGTCACCATCTGCTCCTGTGCTCTACAAGGCCAAGCTGTGCATCTCCCACTACTCTTTGTGCCCCAGAGACTGAACTTGAAAGCCCTTTTGAAGCATCTCCTCACCTCCACGTGACAGCTCTCCATGGTGTTGGCCATCACTCAGTGCTTTCAGGGAGCAGCTTGGCATCCTCTGGTGAAGCCACAGCTGGTCAGACCCTCCTGGGATCCCTCGGCCACTCTGGTTCTGCCCAGGCTGAGCTGCTGCCCCTTCCTACTGAGACCCTTGCGGCAGCCAAGAAGGACTATGGTGACATCTGTGGGGCAACCAGTTGGAGATGGGGGCTGGTTGAATGTGCTGTGGGTGCTCATGCCCCCCGTTGTGTCCCTCCAGAGCAGCCAGCTCCCTGGGGGCAGGGGCTGGAGGAGCAGAGCAGAAGGGGCCCAGCTTGTCCTTCCTTCTAATAAAGGCTTCAAGAGCTTCAGCTTCATGTTTGTGTTGGTTCATTTCTGACAGCCCTGACCCCTCCCTGCTTGCAGCTCAGCCCCAGCCCAGCAAGCCCCCCAACCTGGACAAGTTCATCCCTGTTGCCATCACTGGGGTGGGCTCTGGGGCAGAGGGGGGGGCTGGGAAGGAGGCTTCTCTAGCCACGTGCAGGTCTGCAGACCAAACCTGGTCTGCTCGAGGTCTCCTTTAAAACCCGGGGGTTAACGAAGGTGTCGTGGCCCGTGGGAGCTGGGGTGGCTGCTGCAAAGCTCATCCCTGCACCCATGGGGTCCCCCAGAGGGGGCACAGCCTGTCCTGCCAGGGGCCTGTCCCCCCGGGATGGATCCAACCAGTGCAAGGAGGGCAAAGCAGGGCAGCAGAAAACCACCTCAGTCCTGTTCTCTGAGCCCAGAAGGGACCTGTGGGCAGCCCTGGCACCTCTGGGGGTCCCCAGGGTCAGGGGGGCTGTGGGGCTGGGAAAACAAACGGATTTCCCAGGTTTCTGCCCCGTTCCCCTGCAGGGGACCAGGCTGTGGCCAGAGCTGCAAACCTCTTTCTGCTGAAGGGCTGCTGAGCAATGCAGGTCAGTGCCCTGGCAGCTCCTGCTGGGAAAACAACATCCTGCTGTTTGTCCAGGGCCAGGCACGGAAGCTGAAAAGAAGAGGCCCCTCTTTGGCAGGTGCCTTCTCTTGTCTTGCTGATTTCAGCCTCTGATAAAACTCCCCGTGGTTTCCCAAGTCTCCCCAAACCCGTTCTGCACCCCGGGCTGTAGGAGGGACGGTCCCAGCAGGGGCTGGGCTGGCAGCTCTGTGCTTTAGGGGAAGTTCAGAGCCGTGAGCAGGGAGCAGCTGGATCTTGGGAAGGGGAGGAACAGGGGCAGGACCCCAGCCCTTCCCTCCTGCAGGGTTTGTTCCCAAATCCCCACTGTTCCCTCCCCCTTGGTGCTCCTGGAGCCGAGGATGGTGCTTCCACAACCTGCCTTGGGCTGTTGGTGCTGCTGAGCACCCGAGGGGCAGCCCCAGGCTGCCACCCACTGCCCCCCCTTTCTCCCTCCATTTCCCCCCATCACTTCACTCCCAATTAAACCCCCTTAACTTGCCCCAAACAGCCCTTCTTGGCCTTTCCTCCCTCCTCCCTGGCTCAGAGGGGGGTGGGTTTGGCAGAGCAGCCCCACCACCCACCCATCCCCACCCTCTGAAACAACTCAGGTGGCTGCAGGACCATGTACCCAGCACCTGCAGCCATCCTGGAGCAGGGACCTCCACAGAACCCAAAGGTTCCTCCTCTGGGTTTTCCAGACGAGCAGAACTTGCAATTATTGAGCACCAGGAGAACAAACACCCCCTCCCCACCCCCGCCCAGTTCCCCGTGGGGATGTTTTGCTCACCTCCCCAAATGAGGTGCAGGAAATGGGAAAACACTTGTTTGCCAGGGCCAGATAAAATCTGAGCATCTTCTGGGAATACACACTGAGCCTCTCTAGGACCCTTCAGCCTGGGCTGAGTCAGAGGAGCCAGAGATAGAAAGAAGATAATTTGTTTACTTCACAAAAGCAAATTGGATAAATGGGCGAGGGGACCCAGCTGGTTCTGCTGAGCTTTCCTCCAGGAGATGCCAGCAGCAGCTCTCCCTGCACTTGGGGTCCCCCTGAAGTGTTTGACCAGTTCCACTGGGGCAGAGCCCTGGGCTGGGGGGGTCTTTGCCCACCACAAAGGCCCCACTGATGCTCTGTGGCCACAGCCCGTGTCTGGGGGGATGTAAGGACCCCCTGGTGAGGTGCTGAGATGTCTTCTCCTTGCCCCCAGGCTCCTCCTTCAGTGGGCCAGAACCCTCACCCCTGGCAGCTTGGTGGCTTCTTCCCAACCCTCAGGTCCCCAGGACCTGCTGACCCTTCCCAGCTGGAGTTGTTTGGGGTCACCTCTGAGGACACACACCCCCTCCCCCCATAATCACAGCCCTTTTTCTCCAGTGCAGCCCCCCCAGCATCACCCTCGGGCAGGGACACCTTCAGGTCTGCTGTGACAGAGCAACCCGAGGTTCCCCACAGCCCCACTCACATCTCATCCCACCCTGCCTTGGGGGGATGCTCTAGGTGATCTCTAGAGGTCCCTTCCAACCCTGTGATTCTGATTCTCCCAAGGGCTCTGGAAAGCTTCCTGAGGTGGGAAGGTGCTGCCACCTGGGTTCTTATCAGAGACCTCCAAAAGAGAAAACATCAGAGACAAACCCGCAGGGGGATTTACCAGCAGCAAGGGATGGGTAATTAAAGCCTGTTGAGGTGCCTGCAGCCCTGAGAGGAGGGCAATGCTGCTCATTACAGAGCTGCTCTTTAGAAAGCACTCAAGAGATTATCATCTGGAGGAGCTCACATACGTGCAGGGCATCATTCCCAGTATTTAATCAGTCCAGTTTCTCCCGTGGCTGCAAAACATCCCTTGTCCTGCCTCTCAGAATTACTGGAGATGAGCCATCAGCTATGAAGGTGCACAAAGGACCACTGGTTCTTCTAATTGCTTGGTTGTTTATTTTTCATGCCCACTGAATTGCTTCTTGGAAACGTCCCCCTTTGTCTCTCCAGCACATCCAATTAGCCTGGTAATTTCCCACTGGCTTTAGCCCCCTCTCCTTGGCTGTGTTTGCTCTGTCTTGATGTCACCCACGAGGAACCTGCTGCAGTTGAGCAAAAGGCCAGGAAAGCACAACCTCCTCTGAAAACCCCCCCAGGCAGACCTTGCTCGTGGAGGAACTTGGCAGGAAAACTCTGAGGAAAAGGTCCATTTGTCTTGCTTGATGATTGTTCTCTGGTTTCAGAGCAACTTGAGGGCTCCAACCAGACATCTCTGCTTCCTTTGACAGCTCTTGCAAAACAGTTTCTTCGTGAGCAGAGAGACCTCATGGGCTGGACCAGCTGTGCCCACCTCCTGGGCTCCAGCTGAAGGGGTAGGTCTGTGGCTGCTGCAGGAGGAAACTTGGCTTGTTTTCACTTCTCTTGCCTAAAACCCCAGCAGCACGGGGCAGGTCTCCAGCAATGACACTTCTCCCTGGCAGAGCAGCAGCTCCTCTCCCCAGCCACCTCTCCAAGGGGTCCCTTCTCCATTCACAACCTCCCCTACTTGGTAAGGGAAGGAGGAGCAGCAGCAGAGGGGAGGTTTATTGATGCTCCTTCCCCCACTACGACCAAGAAACGTCCCTTTCTCCAGCTGCCAGGGGGGTTCCCAGCCTGGCAGCTCCTTCCCTCTGCCCAAGATGACACAGTTTCTTGGGCCTTATTGACACGTGGGCTGTATTTATTGGCAATTAAATGGTTCAGTGGCTCCGAGACATTAGTCTCCTCTGAACATGTTGGCTGCCAGATTGTTTCCTGCCAGCAATCCCTGCAGGCTGGGGAAGCTTCCTGAGCCCTCCGGGGCTGAGCCTGGATGGGTGGGAGCAGCTGGTGGAGCCTCCTGCTGTAAAACAATAGGGATATAGATATATATACATTAATGCTGTAACCAGGCCTGATGGGGGGAACTGGGAGCTCTGGGCACGTCCCATGGCCAGG